CTTAATCTCTTCCTTCTTTTGATGTCTGACATGGTTCAGAATGTGCTACCATCCTGGAGAAAGGGGAGGATGAAGTTTACCACAAAAGGTGCAGATCACTGGTTCGCCACGTTGACAGGTTTGTTTTTGCAGTTGTTTTATCCAGTAATGACTCGAACTCCACCGAGGGACGCGATCGTGTGCGCGCAGTCGTGGCTCGGTTGTTTAATGAACATGAGGTTCTTGGGCGTGTGGTACTTGCGGCTGACCCAGTCGACGACAGCCGGGCCAAACCCGAGGTAACCGTGAGTGTCGACCTCGACAAAGTCAATCTTGAGTTTGGGATAAATGCGGTCAAAGAGGCCAACGACGCCCGCGAACGCGTCCATCATACTCGTCGCCGCCTTGACATGCACTATATACAAGTGCGACGTCTCCTCGTTCTGGCGAACATACAAAATAGCCTTATTGAGCGTCGGGAGGTGCGGCCGCTTGCAGAAAAACAAGATTGGCGGGCCGTTGATGGCATGGATCGCGCGAGCAATACTCAGTCTACCGTCCATCACGGTTATCTCAGACTCGACCATCCTGGTTGTTTGCATACCCTGGAGACGATAGCGCTTGGAATGGCACGTTGTCTACCGAGTCGTCGACATACGATGCTCCATCACGTTCAACATGGCCTTCGTCATCACCCGAGAACTTCCGGTCGCGAATGAGCGCGATCGACCCCTCCGCGTGGCGTCCATGCAACGCTGTCTTGTGTTTGGATGGCCAGACAAACGTCACGAACGCCAGGAGAAGCCGTAGGAGAAACACACGCTCAAACATCACGGCCACGACAGCCAACACGATGAAAAAGTAAACCAGCGCGATCGACAGCACGGTCGGGTCGCCGACCAAGTTGCCGCCCAGCGCGAGGACCATGCACGCGACGCCAACGACGACGACGCTCCACGGCGCGCCGCCCTTGTCCTGCCTGAGCAAATCGCTCCGCTTGAACTTGAGCAGCATGCAGCCGACTCCAAACATAATCATGAGCGCCAGAAATGCAAACGTGTACACGCCACTGAGTGTTTCGACTTGGCCATGCAGCGTTACAACCAACGACGCTGCGATCGCAAAATACGCCAAGATGATCCAGTGATTGGTGCTGCGGCACGAATTGGTCGTGAGCAGCATCGACGGCAGGATGCGGTCCAGTGCGAGCCTCCGGACGAGTCCCGTGATCCCGACATACGACGTGAGGACAGCTCCACTTAGTACGACGAACGCATCGATAGCCATCCACGTTTCCAGGGCTGGCCCGCCTACGACGCGCGCCATCGCACTCAGCACTGTGTCCTTATGGCGCACGACCACCGGCAGCGGCAGCACCGCCAGGGACAGCAGCGAAATCATCGGGTTGAACGCGGCGACGCCCCACCACATGTTCTACGAGATCACGTGTTGATGAGTCCTCTCGACACGATCGATTGTACCCGCAACGTCTTGGGGAACACGCCTGGTGCCTGGTCTTCGACGAATTGCGCCGACGTTTCGAACCCCGAGATCCCGAGCATCGCCGTGCACATGCCAAAGAAGAACGCAGTCCAGACTGTTCCGGACAAGCTACGACGTTGCCATCAGTGGTCACGGACGCCGCAGCGGCCGCACGAAATGGAACACTCACGTGGCGCCAGCGACCGACACGTCCGGGTAGTCGGCACTAAGGTTGGCGCGAAGGATAGTCGCTTCGTTCTTGACGAGGAACACGATCGACATGGCACACAGTACAATCAGCGTCGCCGTGTGGACGACAAAGATCACCAGCGCAAGCCCTGCGCTTTCGCTATGTCACGCGCAAAGCATGAGCCTCTAGATCTAAGTATTGCGTTGCTGGCATGGATTTGCATGGACCAAGGTTGCAAGAGTGTGCAAACATCATCCCTTCCACAGTGGAGAACCAGCTCAAGGTAGCAGCGCACTCACACCAAAGGCACTATAGAGAACGGATTCAGGCCACCCACCGAATCCCTACTATGGACAGCAGTGCAAAGAAGAGCAGGAGACCGACGCTGGCTTCGACGACGGGCAGCAACGGGATCACCGACTGCAGGTACGTGCATGCGGACGTACCGGACACGACGCCTGTACGAGCGTCAGAGATAGAACTCGCATGAGCGCGATATAGCTCGTACCCGTAGCAACGTACGACAAGATGCCGAGTGCAGCGGCGACGGACGCGATGCGTTTTGTGGTTGTGTTCAAAAGGGCGTTGTACGAGCCACCGTTGAGCGGTATCGCAGTCACCACTTCGGTGTAGATGTATCGGTAGAGGTACAGAATCGCGGCAACAGTTGCCATGGCGACGGGGGCGAGTTTGCCAGCGCGGACAGCCACAATGCCTGTCGTGTACAGGCACGACGACAGGATGTCGTTGCCACATATGGCCGTCGCTGGCCATTCGCCAAGTCGATGGGCTTGTTTTGAAGCCGCAAGCGTCGCGTCGAGCTCTTTTAGCTCTGCCGGATCGGCGCTCTCGGATATTGAAGAGCCCCATCCCGGAAACTCCCATGGCTTGACCTGCGTCACGTCGTCCGTCAAGTGGATCGTTAGAGGCTCGACGTGAACGTTCACATTGGCATCGTCGTTTGCGTTTCCACCGAAGTCGTCGTCCATCGGGAGCGACCCGTACAGGATTGACGGCGGCTCAGTGGCCATTTCTGTTGGATGGCGCCGACGTCAGCACGACCTGGCGAACATTTGCGACGGTTCGCACTAGATTCCGTTCACTTAAGGTATGTATGCCCCTTTTTGTCCGGTTTCGGACGTTTTCTACGATTGGCGCGACTTTTTTTCCGATAGACATGACTGTGACACGGACCCTCGTGTCACAGTCGAGGAGAGAAGGATCCAAATGCATTGCTCCACAATGCGACGTACTCGCGGCAAAGCTTGCTCCGATAGTTCCTCTTTCAGCGATCCCTTGAGTAGAGCTGGCTCTCAACGCCGGGGGATTGGAGTCGCATAGTGGATGTGTGTACTTGAGACGCCTCGACGTCGCGTTTTCTATGCAGATGGGATTTTGTTCGAACCTCGTTTTAAACGTGTGTTAAACGACGGAAAAAACATGCATCAATTTAGTGCAACGGTGGCTTCCCGCGTGCAACTCATTCACGGTCGGATCTCGCCACTCTACGCACGGCATGAGTGAACTGGCGGCGCTGACCGCTGACAAGCCCGCGGCGTCTCGCTCAACGTACGGGTCGGACGAAGAGACCAGTCGCTCGTTGCAACACATGCAACCGTGGGAGTTCCCAGGATGGGGTCAAGTCACCAGTGTGTCCATCCCTGACAGCAGTTTGGCCGAGATCAACGCGGCGCTAAAATCTCGCGAACACCCCAAGCTCGCGGAATGGCCGGCAACCGCAATTTGCGGTAACGATATCCTCTCTTCTTGTCTGTACGTGTCTGGCCTGGTCGCGGCCAAGGCTGGCAAGTTGGCCCCCGTCTGCCTTGCCCTCGTCGCAGGAATCTTGTACCTGTACCGCTTCATCTACGGCGAAGTCGTACGTTGTGACCGTGTTCGATTGCAGCGATGCTTGAACCTTGTTCATCCAGGTGAATGCGATTCCCATGAACGGCGGGTCCTACAACGTTTTGCTCAACACGACCTCGAAACGCGTGGCGTCCGTCGCGGCATCGCTTGCCATTCTGTCGTACATTGCAACGGGTTCGTCTAGCCCTTCCATCATGGCGACGTCTCGCATCCTTCATATATGTGTCCAGGCGTCGTGTCCGGCACGTCCGCGTGTACCTACCTGGCGTCGACGTTCCCGGGGATCCCTGTCGTCGGAGCGACCGTCGGGCTTCTCTTCTTCTTTGCCGCGCTCACGTGCTTGGGCATTTCCGAGAGCGCAGTGGTCGCGCTCGTCATCTTTGTCGTGCATACGCTGACGCTCGCCACGCTGTGCGGTCTGTCCGTCTGGTTCATCGTGCACAACCGCGGCCAGCTCCTATATGCCAACTTGTTCGAGACGGCATATCCTTCCATCAATCTTGCCGGGACATGGTACGCAATCCGCCCCACTTCTCCCTTCGTATGCCCGTTCACTGGTGATGCACACAGGATCGACGGAGACGTGTTCTCCGCGCTCTTCTTTGGCACGTCGACCGCAATGCTCGGGATCTCGGGCTTCGAGTCGTCGTCGCAGTTTGTCCAGGAACAAGCGCCGGGGGTCTTCCCCAAGACTCTCCGGGTACGATCTGACCGTTTATGGCCCAATGCCTCATGGACATAGAATATGTGGTGGGGCGTCGCCGTATTCAACCCGCTCCTGTCCTTCCTGTCCCTCGGGGTCATGCCGCTCTCAACCATGAACATGTTCAAAAATACCGTGCTGTCCAAGATGGCCCTTGTCGTCGGCGGCCAGACTTTTGAGACCCTCGTCACTCTTGACGCGTTCATCGTGCTCTCTGGCGCCGTCCTCACAGCCTACGTCGGCATCAACGGTTCGTCCCATTCGTGGCTGCGTCCACGGATGCGAGAACTGTCCAAGTGTTTTTGGAACTGCACGATGCATCAGCTTCCCCCCAAGGCGTTGTCTTTACGATTCTCCATGTGTGCCTTGGTGGACTGTTCTGTGTGTGAGCGCACCCGGCCGTTCTCGCAACGTCGTGTATCCTATCGTATGCATTGAAAGTGATTGAATCGCGCACTTCAAACGCTCCTGGACCTGACCTGCCTCCTGACCACTCGTTCTTGTCCAGGTTTGATCCGGCGACTCGCCAGCGACCGCGTCGTGCCTCCCTTCCTTCTCCACGAAAACGCATGGCGCCATACCAACCATTGGATTCTGTGGGGGTACTTTGGCGTCGCCACGTCGCTCGTCCTCGTCCTCCGCGGGGACGTCGAGACGCTTAGCGGCGTGTACACGTACGCGTTCCTGGGGCTCATGACGCTGTTTGGCACGGGGTGCATGCTGCTCAAGTACAAGCGGGCGGCGCTCCCTCGCGACGTGATCGCACCATGGTACGACGACGACCCGTACTTGGTCCATCGAAAGAGATGGTCACTGGATCGTAGGTCGGCTTGTCTGACAGGCGTGATGCTGGTCGTCGCCGCGTTCTTTGGCAACCTCATGGGTGACCCGACTGTGCTCACGTACTTTGCGCTCTACTTTTCGCTCGTCCTTGTCGTTGTGCTCGTGATGCTCGAGCGACTGTTTCTCCTGCGTTTGGTCATGTACGCCCTCAAGCGCGTGTGTCCATCGCGCCATTCCAAGAACGACGACGGCGCCGGCACCGGCGCGATGGGCGGTACTGGGTCGAATGACCGATTTTCCAAACGGTTGTCTGTGTAGGCCGCACGATTGTGAGGGCCATGCGCGAGATTGCCAGCACGAATCCGACCGTGTTCTTTGCCAAGCACGCCGACTTGCCGCTCCTGAATAAGGCGATCCTGTACGCCCGCTCGAACGAACAAACGAGCCATTTGGTTGTGGTGCACGTGTCCGCCGCCAACCGGCCGGCCGTGGACGCCCTCAACGACGACGGCCTCGAGAGCACACTCGATATCCAAACGTTTTCTGAAAACGTCGCGCTCCTCGATCGCATCTACCCCAAGCTCAAAATCGACTTTGTCCATGTTGCGATAAACTCGGGGTCGTTTGGCCCGGCTGCGATCGAGTGGGTGTCGACCAAGTATGGCATCCCCAAGAACATGATGTTCGTCAAACAACCCAGTGCCGCATTTCCCCACTCGATCGCGGCCCTCGGTGGCGTCCGCATCATCACTGGATAACATATCTCTGATAAGCGACCCGTTCCTGACTTTTGATCGGGAGGCATTCGACGTCGAGCACGCTCGACGATGTTTTTGCGCAGGTCGCAAAAAGTGGTTCGCTCTTCTGTTGCCTGCATCGGATACCTGCACGCCGCCTGCTGAGTACGTCGGGCGCCCGCGCGCATCGTCGCTTCTCGTGGGCAGAGTCAGGTATGTGGATGGGGGTATGGTAGGCCAGTGTTGGCCCTGCATCACTGAAGGTTCATCGAGGAATGCCCCCGCCGTGGCAAACAACTTGTTCGCAACTGCGCGCACGTTGGAGTGTCGGAACGACGAGTGGAAGGAGCAAGCATCTCCACAGGTTTGGAAGACGGACTGCGATTTCACATGGCGCGTCTTGGCAAGCAGGTCGCCCCCATCGTGAGCTCGTCGGTGCTCAAGATGGCGTCTACCACACGCACGCTTTCCTTGGGTGACCCCTTGATGAGATGCACCGTGGCTATGAGGAGTCGATCCGACTCGTTAGAAAGCGATGGGGGGCACCGCCGTCAGCTGCATGCAAATCCCATCGGGATGGTGCATGACTTGTTCAACTTCCCCATTCTCAATCCTGGCTGGTGCTGGTGCCCGTGGCCTTGTCGTGGTCGCGGTGTTGAGAGCACTGCCGTCGGCGAAAATCACCCCGGGGGTTCAACGCCACTGAAAGGCGAAAACCTTGTCGAAATCGCGATCGAGATGAGCACCTTCCCCGCCGCCATCAGAGCAACGACGCGATCGCTCCGCACCCAGTTCGAGAACATTGTGGACCTCCAAAGAGACCCTGGCCATCCGCTCCAAGTCGTTGCAAACGTCTGTGCTCGGCCTGCTCCTCGAGGCGACTGTTTCCCACAGTGAGGCGTTGGGGACCGTGTCCGCCGAGTCTCACAGTCATCGACACCAACATGACGCTCCTGAAACAACGTGCGTCGCTGTCGTCTCTCATATTCGAATGCCAAAAGGTCGCGACGTTGCCACGCGTGTGAGTCGAATTCGGAGCAGTGCGTTCAACGAGTGGAGCGTTCGGCAGGAAATCGAGGCAAGGAGGCGTCGTGGGGTCCATGCAACTCGGGATGTTTGACCTTTCCCACCGACGACGCGGACACGGCGCGCAAGATGGGCTCCGTTGTCGGTCAATACGGAATTGGGGTGAGTGGCGTGGGTCGCATGCCGCGGATGCACGTCGGCCAGGTTTACGAAACCTCGACGGTGACGATGCAATGCCCGTCGGATGCACTCGGCAACAACCATGCTGTGGCTTGGTCCCGAACGTGATCAACAATTGCTGGACCTGCCAAGGGGCGGGAAAGCCACGGTACCATGCGATTGTGGACGCGTGGGAGGCGGCTGCGGTCATTCCAGTGCTTGCGGTTGGCAGCATCAAGCATGTTTCAGGGATGGCGCTGTCCCCAGGCCACAGGAACGTGTTGGCGGAAGGCGTGGACGACGTGTCCGCCAAGTTCAGCAGCCAAAGGTCGTCCCCCGTCGATCTGTCCGCGCCTGGCATCAAAGGTCAGTCGCCTTGGACGATCGATGTGTCGACAAACGCCACCATGTCGGGAACGTTCGTGGGGCGCCTGGCTCTGTCGCGCTTCTCCTGTCCAGGAAACCAGGCGCGACTCTTGGCACCGTCTATAATACACTCAATCGTGGACGCATCCCAAAATCTGCGCCAACGACGACGCGTGCACCCTCCATTCCCCCACAGCAACTACAACGAAAGCCCCCCACATTCACAACGGTGGCGACTTCAATTAGCCTGACACCGATTCCTAGCTGTGCCGGACGTGCAGTGCGCTCGCGTCCGACTGCTCGACGGCGTTCACCAAGCGAGAGTGCTCGTTCGACCGCTCGTTTGTCGGCTCCGTTTGGTATAGCAAGGAATGCGAGTGCCCTTAGCTCATTCACAGATCACAGCAAACGTCGCTCCACGTCATCCGACGCTCATATGAAAATCTCGCCACCTCCCCGCTCCCTGTCCGAGCTGCGATGCGTGCGCAGACGTCCACGGGATGCACCCGGACACGACGACGACGGGCGCCGACCGCAAACAAGTTCTTGCAGTTGCGTGAGGACAGGGCCGTCCCCCAACCGGGCTTTGTGTTGCCCACCACAATCCCGGAAAGGAACCCATGGCTCCCGCCAGAAGCCGCGTTCAAGGCTCCTCGCACCGCAAGCCGGGATCCTGTCGCGAAATGCCATCATGGCGGTCCCCCCTCCTCCGCCTTCGTTCGGAAGAGATGGCAAGTTCGCATCCGTCTGCCGATGGCTATCAGCGACTGCATCTTTTTTGACATTTGCCCCGAAAGATTCAATTCAACTGCACGAATGACCAAACGCCATCACTTTACCACCCTAAAATTGAGTACCCATTAATTTAGCGCCACTTCGACTGCGTGAGGTACTGTATCGCGAGCTGATCTTGGCGAACGGACGCGCGCCCGTTGTTCAACTTGACCTCCCGTCGACCTGTCGATGGTGGCCACCGCAACGCATCGCTACCGCAGTGGGTGCAACTCGGCAACTTGTTGAACTTGTTCGACCACACAGCGCAGACAAGTGTCATGGGCGAGGTGGGCATCAAAGAGCGTGCACATTTTGGAGGAGACTGCCGACCATCGAGCGAGCTTTGGTCCTGTACAGAACATGCTGCTGTTCTGGCGGGTAGTTCGTGCGAAGAACTTCCCAGGTTGGCAAGGAGGCGCCTCAGTCCTAGGTGGCAACAGTGGCGTCCACCCGCCTGCCTATGTAGTCCCAGGTCGTCAGATTTTTGAACGAGTACATACAGTACGAACCAACAACGATGCAGTCGATCGCTGCGACAATGGCACATTGCCCGTGGCCTCAACCAAATGTACAAGAGCACACAAGGCTGGACCCTCATCCAGCCTCGAGCTTGCCGCCCGTCCTAGGTCGGCGTTTGCGCTCGCACGCCGCTTCCGACGACGCACTGTAGGTGGGTCATCGTCCGTCGGAACTCGCACAGGACACGAAATGGGCACTAAAGTGATTTCTTCTTGGCCGCGAGCTTCTGCACTTCCGCGCATGATCCACGTGCACTCGTGCGACGACGACCGCGATGGCTAGTTTGGTATTTCATTGACCATGGACATCACCATCGCTACGAAAATGGCAGTCGACGCAACCTCATCGTGCTCGACACCATCCGTCGTCCGCAGCGGACTCGTCTTCACCAAAGGCCAACACGAAGACGGCCTCTTCGGCCGCGCCACGTGGAAGTTGCGCTACGTCGAACTGAGCTCGGACAGCATCATGCGCTACTACGCGGCCAAGGGCGGGCCATTCACGGGCCAAGTCGACTTGAGCCAGTGCTACGGCATGGAAGTGATGCCGTTCGACCATTCCCGCACAGGCAACCGCCTCACGAGCATCTATCGCATTGCGCTCAAGACCACGACGAAGCGACGCATTGTCATCGCCGCCCTGTCCGAGCGCGGAATGAACGTGTGGGCCGGCGCGATGCAGTCCGTCGTGGGCCCGACCCTGAAGGCAAAATCGCCGACGAGCTCCGGCACGGCGCGGTTCTCCATATTCCGCAGGGTTCTTCGCACGCTTTAACTTAACTAGTCTTGACTTGAACACTTCGCCACCCGCACGAGTTTTGTCCCTTGGTGCAGTGCTGCAGTCCGTCACGCTGCCGCCGCTACGAAGACGACACGGCGCCATGGCATGCTCCGCTACTTTTCCTCGGTTCTTCGTTCGACAACCAAAGAAGGACATGCAATTGGCGTGCGAAGCGCGCCAATCGTCGGCGCGACGAGCGGCATTGTGGTGCAGAAGCAGCTAAATTGAAGGGCTGAGATGATGTGTTGGGGAGGTTTGCGCCATGGAGCTGTCAGAGGCGGTGTCCCCAAGAACGATGGTGTCCTGTGCATCCCATGTCACAATGCAACCCGCGTCCTGGACGGTTCCTGGTGGCACGTCCAGGTGCCTCTGCGAATGACAAATGCTTGGGACGTCGTGCGGAGAACTGGGAGGCTACGTGCACCGAATATAGGACGAGACGAGAGATGAGCCGACGATGGATTACGTCGGGACTGCTCTATCTGAACGCGTCGTCCATCCAGCGATGGGTCGGTAGACGATTGCCGTTGTCGTCAGTCTGGCAGTCTCGGTTCAAACAAATCCAAATCAGTGCCAGCGTTGACTGCTTGACACCGTCGTGCGATCGAATAAAGGCTGCGCCTTGGTTGCCGCACACGGGGCACGTCACATCAAAGTCTCGCTGGAGCGTCGGGTCGTCGATAATGTCTTCTGGCAGCACATCCATTTGATTCCGCGCATCCTTGACGAGCTTGTTCACGTAAATGCAGTGCTCTGGGACGCGTTCGTTGTGGCTGCAGTTGCGGCACGTGAACGTGAGCTGCTTCATCTCTCGGTCTTGGCTCGGGTACAACATGTTGTTGCTACAAGCAGGCGCAACAACTCAATCAGGACGACAGGGCACGATGGAAGCCGCGATGTCTCACCACTCCTTGCAAAAGCGCATGCCGGCGGTCGACATGATGAGTCCGTGTGATAATGGAGGGTAATGATGGGCCGGGGTATTTTATTTCACCAAACGTCAACGTATATTGATATTTGTATGGAGACGGACGAAAGATTAAAAATGCAATCGCGATTGGAATTTCCCGTCCGAGGGACTTGCGCACGACGGGATGCGGCGAAACGTTGCACGGCCATGGCATGATCTTCATGAGAAGAAGTAAGACGACACCACACTGAATGCTCTGTGCGTGCTCAGCTGCTCCTTCTAACTATTCTTCGCACGCTGTCCCGTCCCCTGGCAGTCCTTGAGCACCACCACCGCTTCCCAGCGAATAAATCGGCATACGAACCGGATAAATTCCGGTTATAGAAGAATATGCACAAGTAATACATTTATCAAGTTATATTAAAATTTGAATTCCACTTGGTCGATCTTTCAAAAACGCATGAGCACCGCCGCCGCCGCTGGCCACATTGGCGCTGGCAGCGTCGTGGAATGGCACGACGATGAAGGCGACGTGAGCGTACCTGTGCAAGCATATCTCGTGTATCCTGATGTGCATGTGGGCCGCATCATGACGGGTGTCGTCGTCGTCCCCGACTGTGCGGGATTCAGCACGACGTACGTACGCACGTTCGCCGACAATCTCGCGGAGCAGGGGTATAAAGTCATTGTGCTGGAGCTGTCTGTGACCACGGCGACTGCGGACGAATGGACAAACTCTGGTACATTCCGCAAATGGAGGGACTCCGCCGTGGCGGCAGAAGCAACGACCGTGCGACGAGCTTTGCGATGCCGCGACCTGCTCAAGCACACATACGAGGTGCAGCGCGTGGGCGTCCTAGGCCTCGGATATGGCGCAGAAGTCGCGATTCGTCTCGCTAACTCCTTTGACGCCGTTGCACTTCTCAGTCCCACGGCACTTCCTGCGCCGTCCCCATCGATTCCCACTCTCTTGGTCGCTGGAGACCGCAACGAGTACATCGATTCCTCCAAGGTGCAGCATATCCACATCGTCGCCTGACACTCTGTCACGATGTCCATAGATCAAAGCGTTCGTCGAGAGCTTTCCGTCTTCTCCGCATGCTGTACGGGTGCGGGTATGTCTCTGTTCAGTCCCTCCTCGACACTCTCTCAGCACGACGTCTTGTCATCGCGTGCAGGTCGTGCCTGGCCAGCGGCATGGCTTTGCTCTGAGCCGCATCGCCGACGAAGATGCGGCGACACTCGCGATCGCGGACATCCTGGACTGGTTCATCATGCACCTCCACCGATTTCGCACGGCACTGTGCACGAGTGACGGTACTGACCCCATTCGTGTGCGCTCAAGCGTTCTCCCATGCGTGATATGCTGTTGATGCAGGGGACCCGTGGTGGCCGCAGGGCAAGAATGGTCCGTTCTACAACGTCGGCCTCGGCAGATGGCAAGCCCAGCGAGCTTCATGGCTCACCGTGACGCGACCAAGGTCCCATGTGTCTCGCCCTAGCGCTTATTTAGGACGTATTGATGGAGCGATTTATGATAGGCCGCCCAAGCCCGAGCCCGTGGCGTTGGAACTCTTGCTCGAAGGCCTGACCTCTATGAAGCGGACGTACGACTTGCCGCACCCGATGGCGCTCGCCGATCTCGTCGGGATCTATATCGATATCTGGGACATCAACCAATAATGCGATATCTCGAAAGCCGCTTGATTCCGATGGCGTAGTGTTTCGTTGCCAATGTATGAAGAACGCATCGGGGACCGCGGGCACCGGGCCGGTCGAAAGAACTGGTCACAATGGTCGGTATATCGAGCGTCGTGCGCTGCGCAATACGTTCAACTCGATGGATGGCACTACTCCGGTTCATGCGGCTACTGGTTGAGGCTGAACCCGCCGCCGATGTACCGCTTGGACGACGTGATCGCAAGCTGCTTTTGCGCCTCGACAAGCGCCTTGGCTTTGTCTTGGGGCGGCATCTTGAGCAGTGTCGGGAGCTGGTGGGGTGTGTCGGCGAGCTTTTCTTCGAGCTTCATCTTGTAGTACTTGCGCTTGACGTCGTGGAGTTCGCGGGCGAGTCGTTCGATTTCGAACTTGAGTTCGTTTTCCTTGGACTGGAACATGTTTTGCTCGCTCAGGAGGGCCTTGAGTTGCTTGTCCTTGTCGCGCAGCGTTTGCTGGTACACGCTGAGTTGCTCAGCAACTTCGGGCCCCGGCTGCCGCGCCAGAATGTTCTTGAGCTCGACATACAGCTTGTCCTTTTCGTGCACGATCAAGTCTTTCTCGACCACCTCCTCGGTCTTTTGGATCAACCGCTTTTGCAGCGTCTGGATCTTCTGGATCATTTCGTACGTGGCCGGATCCGACCCCTCCAACTTGCGCCACCGATGCACGTTCATCGGGTTCTCAAGCTCTTCACTGAGTGCCTTCACCTTGGTTTTTTCCTGGAGCAATTCGCGCTGGAGATGGTACACCTCCCGCTTCAGGTCGTCCAACTGACCCACTTGATGCTTGGCGATGTGGAGCTCTCGCTTCATGTCGGTGATCTTGAGCTTCAGTACACGGATGTCTGCCATCCGCTCTTGGTACTGCGTCTCGCCTGCGCAAGATACACCGCGTGAGATTCTGTCGGTCAAGCAAGGCTTCCACACGGAGAAATCACACAAGCGGACAAAATCAGGGCCACGCACGGCCTCAGCAAAGCGTATTGGCATCGCAGCCATCCATCCCATTGTAGTTTGCGACGGCCATTCAACTTGCCACCATAGTCTGGTACATTCAAAGGAAAGGAGATGCACATAGTTGAGGCGGCGGCATCGCCGTCGTGTATGGCCATGCCGCACGTGGATCCGGCAGACCGAACGGAATTTCCAATCATACCTTTGCTTAGAGTCGACTGCTGGATCTTGAGCTTCTCGTACAGGAGAGCGAGTTCGTCGTTGCGTCGAATGAGCTGGGTGCCGAGAATGTCGCGCTCGTTGATCACTTGGTCGTACTCTTTCTTTTGCTCAAGCGCTTCGTCGTCCATGCGGCGGATCATGGTCGTGAGTTTCCGAATCTCGGCGTCCTGGTTGTTGATCGTTTCTTCGTTGGTCGCCAAGAGCGTCCTGTACATCCGTAGCCTGGTTTAGAGAATGCCGTGGACGGGTTACTACCGCAGGCGCGCGAGTTCGTTCTTGTGCTGCTCGCGCTGCTTCTCGACCTTTTGGTGGTCAAAATGCTCCTTGACGAGGGCGTGGTCCTTGGCGGACACCTCTTCCTTGAGCTGTTCGATCTGGTGGTTGATGATCTTAAACTTGCGCTTCATTTCGGCGATCTCGTCCTGGGACTCGATAAGGTTCTTGCTGTACAGGTTGCGGTCGCTCCGGACTGCTTCGTAGAGCTGCTGCTGTTGCTTAAGCTTGCCGTCGCCCTCTGTGACCTTCTTCTGCATCTCGTAGATACGCATGTCCTTGAGCTTGATTTCTTCCTGTGCCTGGACAAACAGGTTCCGCTGCTCGGACGCTTCGATCCCGTACTTTTCGCGTTCCTTTTCGAGCTGGTAGATGAGCTTGCGCTGCTTGGTCGCTTCCTGCTTGTACCCGTTCAGCTCGGCCTCCAAGTTCTTGGCGATGCGCTCGTTTGTCTTGACTTCGTCCCCAATCATGCGCGCGCGCTCCTCCGCCTTCTGCGCCGCCTTGATCTGGATAGTCCGTTCACGCTCGAGGGCGTCCAACTCAGCCTTTTGTGCCTCTTCGACCCGTTTGTCCGAGTCCAAATCTTTCTGCATCGATTTGATCTGTGTCTGCAGCACGAGCTTGTTTGTGCATTCTTCCTCGAGTTTCGCCTCGACTTTTTGCGTGTTGCGCTTCTCTTTGTCGATCTTGCGCTCCGCCATGTTCTTCTCGAGCTTGAGTTTCGTAATGTCGTCGTTCTTGGCCTTGATCTCCGCTTCAAATTCGCGCCGTTCAACCTCCAACTGCATGTTCTTGTCGTTCTGTATTGGATAGACACCAGACGTCAGGACAAGCGCAACCACACATGGGGGCACGGCAGCTCCGAACTCGAGTTGTTTCAAATCCGTGGTCGTCGTACCTGGTCATTCAAGAGCTCGGTCAACTTCTGGGATCGGTTGTACAGCGTTTCGTAGTCCCGGACGTATTTCTCCATGGTTGCTACAAGCCCACCTCAGCGCCATTTCGTTGTGCCAGCCAATTCGACCGCGAGGATCGCCACAGATTGAAAAACGTTGTAAGAGCTGCCAGCACCCACCTTGGGCTTCGGCGAGTTGCTTCTCGAGCGCCTGCACTTGGGTCGTGGCGCGTCCGATGTCCGTCGACAACGCAATGTTTTCAACGCTCTTGCGCTCCAACTTGACCTTGACGTCTTTGATTTCTTTGTCCAGGCGCTCCTTTCGTCGGTTCTCCCGCTCTTGTTCGTTCTACACGCACGACTGATCAACCGCTTGACTGCCAGAGCGTACGTACAGCTTTGAGCTGCAGCTTGTCCTTGAGCGCCTGCACTTCGAGCGCCTGGACTCGCTTGCCCTCCTCCATCTCGGCGATCTTGACGTGCAGCTCCTGAATTCGTGCATGGTCCTTGCGGGCGTTCGTCTCATGTTCGTCGTTGTTGCGACTTAGCTCTTCCTTGACCCGCACAAGCTCCTTCATTGCATTTTCTTGACCCACACTCAGTCCAGCTCTACGTCGTGGTCAGAACGCTATGAGCACGCCAGGTAACTTGCTACCCCTGTTCCACGAGTCGACTGAGGTTGGTGATCTCGTCCTTGAGCTGCGTGATCGTTTCCTTTGCTCGAATCTCCTTTTCGTGGGACGCATCAACCATCTTCCACGCCTTCTCCATTTCCTTTTTCAACGACGAGATCGTAGTCTGGTCTTCCTGGCTCAGTTTCAGCGCCGTTTGGACCTTGGCCGCGTTGTTCACGATCTCGCCGTTCAGTTCGCGGCACTTTTTGATGAGCTTCTTCTCCTGCATGTTGCTCTTCTTGAGCGCCCGGTGGAGCTTTTCGTACTCGAGCCGGAACCGCTCGAGGCTCTTATCGCCCACGAGTTCCGTCAGGACCTCCTGGAAATCTTTCTCCAACGCGTCCAGAGACGCCGCCTCCATATTCGGCTCGTCCAGGCCTTTCCCGCCGCCACTCCCCCCCGCGCTATGCTCCTCTTCATCAACGGCCATCATCGTGCCGTCCTTGCTCCCAGTCGATGCCGTGACCGTTCGGTAACACGGCAGACAGTTTTCTTGGAGGTTGCTTTTTTTAGCTCATGACAATCACCCCACCCGACATGTGGACATTTGAGAATTGTGACGGACATCGTGCGTCCCAAGCACCGACAGCAATGGAGATGCTACGTTATGACACATAATATGGAGTCAACGATGCGGTCAAGCTACCAAAGTTGAGTGGGCCATGCAGTGATAGATCTTGTTGCAATAGGGGGAGGAGAGATCCCCAGGCAGCCCCACCAAGCGGGAGGCGTAGCTATGCTGGTTGACTTGGTTGGCGTCGGATGTGCACTACTGGGTGGGGGGTTGAGAACACCTTGACGTTGGACTCTTGTTGCACGGGGCGCCATTGAATACGCCACGCTTGGCGAGGTTGGACGTGGTCGTGATGTGTTCTTTATTGGCCTACGAGCCTAGAATAGCACTCACGGTAGACGGTGTGAAGGGCGTAAGTGGGTATTTGTATACAGCTTGCACTGCTGGACGTGCGCTGCTTCATTGCGACCGAACTGAAAGCGAGAACTTCAAAGCTCCCCAGCTGGAAGGCCGCGATCGAACATTTACCTGGGTCGATCGGGATGCTTTGTTTTGGAGATTGCACAGAATGAGGGCCACTAGAATGGCCCACCAAAGCGGCCAGCTGGAGATCCTCAACGACCAGCATTGTCCAGAGCAGTCTTTTCTATCTCTTCAGCGGACATCGCTCGTCAGCCCTCACGCCTGAAGGAAATGCATTGCGCACAGTCGGAGATGCAGGGAAAGACGTAGTCTTCCTCTGAACGGAGCGAGATCATGTTAATTTTCTGAAGTTATTAGCCTTGCCAAGACGACAGGCCCCGGCGAAATCGAAAGTCGATTCTTGTCCGTTGCCTTAATCATCTGGACTACTCCTCTGGAAAACCGGTCTGGATCGTGCCGGCGACTGTACGCTACTCGGTCCTACCTTACACACTTCGTGGCTAATGAGACAATCCTTCGAAGCATCCAGTCCATGTTTGGGATAGAGCATCGCCTGCGAGTTTTTCTCCAGTGTGTAGAGACAATGAACTCAGCGTGGTAATCAGACCTTCGCCCCGACTACCTGTAACTTTCGGTGGTTCCGAGTTCTCCGTGCAACCAAACACTACCCACAGTGCTGCGTAGAATCAAAAAGGAAACACTCCCGACTGGGCGCAAGGTGCTTATCGTTGTGCAGTTTAGAGTATCGGTCCATGCAGTTATCGTCACGGGATGTTGTGCTGTGTCGTTCGGTCATCCAATGCTGAGTTCCTGTGGCGCGCGACCGCATCCACTGACCATGCGCCTGATTGTCTTTACACTCGCGCACGCTGGAGCGGCAACGGACAAATCCTTCGGCCCTCACCGCACCCCATATGACATCAAACGTGTTTGAAAATGTCACGGGCGACACCATCGCAACGACTTCATTAGTTTGTCGCACACGCCAACAGAAGTATGCACTGTATAATGTGATGTGCATATATATATACGTGGAAGAGGATTAAAGATGCATATTTAATAACTAGGTTTCTACGAATTTTCATATCGAGCGCCGCGTCGAGAGGTCGTGTCAAGGACAAGGCAGTGCGGAATTCTCACCATGGCGCCAAAGCTGCCTCTGCCTGACAACTTCTTCGCATGCCCTCGTCTGACGACGGGAGAGGTCGACATGCTTACTGTCGTCGCTGCTCGAACGACCAAGCAAGTGGTGCGAGGATCTCTACCCGTTCTTGTTGGTCACGTCATGCCATTCATGAGGCGACTTGGTAGATCAAGCATGCCTGTGTGCAAGCCAAGAGCCGAATTCGATGGAGCCAGTACAGCCGACACCACGATAGAGGTTTGGACACGTATATTGGGGAAGATCCGTCGGCTCCACTCGGGGTCGTGTCATGCCTGATTCAATCACAAATCCACGCGACGTTGGACGATGTGGCGAACATACACTACTGCGCCAACACGACCAAGTACAAAGAGTTCATTCGAACATTCTTCGACGACAAAGACGGCATTCAACTGTACACTCTCGCAAGACCTACAACAGAGCAGCCTAGGCGATATGTCGGCGTGAACTGGGCCATGTCGAACGACAGCGGCATACTGTCCAGGAAGCGCGACTGGTGCTATGTCGAGGTACGAACACGCTCCTTTGTCGTAATTCCCCCAGCACTGATCGCATGTCTTGTTCAGAGCCATGACGATGCTGTAATCGATGGAAAACGCGCGTGGGTACGATCACTTCGATCGATTCAGTTGTCGTGCTGTCCGGATCTGCGAACGGCCAAAGGGTTCATTCGGGCCGAGCACTACCGTTCTGGGGTTGTGTACGTTGAAACCGATGTCCCGGGGGTCTTGGACGTTCGGCAGCTCCATCAAGTCGCGCTCAATGGCACGTTGTCCAAACTGTATCTGGGTCGGCACATCGCCCTTGCCGTCAGCCGCCGCCGCAGCCGCTGCATGGTCACTCGAGTGCAGCAAGTTCTCACGACCATCCACTTGAGCATGGCGCTGAAACCCAACGCAACTTCGTTCCTGTGTACGCTTTGCAACGGCCATTTCAGACGGTCGCACCAATTCTGCTGCCATTGTCACAAGGTAGCCAATTTTTCAATCCTTGTCCAGTCGTTTTTGACGGGTCTACTTTGCCAGAACCTTGGCCGACAGTGCACGAGAAGAGGTACTGCTTCGTTGGACCACACGAACCGTAATGGTAGTTCAGTCTTGTGCATGTCATGCGCCGAGCACAGCCTCCTGCGACCACCAACTCCGTCGATTCGCAAAGTCGTGTTGCACGTTGGCACGTACGATTCAGACATGATAGCCACCAGTGAAGAACAGGCCGAGGACTGTTTCGATACTTGGATATCGTCTTGTTCAGGCAACCTCACAGTCAACAAAGCAACCAAACTCGAATCCTTGCCGCGGGAAAGTGTCCCAAGTGTCAACGACGTCTTCCTTGTTTCGTTGCGTGCGTGACGTAAACCTGTGTCATCTCACTACGCCTTCGGGAGGTTCCAGGATGGTCTCGCTGCCACAGTACTGATCTTTAGAGGTAACTGAGCAAAGAGTCTGAGTGACGTTGATTCATGGCAATGGACCATACTCTTGCAACGATCTCTCCAAGACCGATGCGCAAATCCTGGCCATGCCAAAGCGCCCGCTGTGTTCGGTATGGACATCAAAATGTGACATGCCTACGTCCTCGGGTGTGGCATGTGTGCCCAAGTGGTACACACCTCGGTCGAAAGGGAGGAACCAATGGTGGCTGGAATGTGGACGAAGGCCGGCCCATGCGGATGTCGTCCTGGATGCTGCCCCATGATTATCAATATGGACTTTACGTCATGCAGGCGTCCGCCCTGCCGAGTTCGAAGGAGGTAAAGCACATTTTGGAAGCGCACATGATTCACAGTCAATCTGACGCTAGACACGCGGCGAATCCACTTTGGTCATGGAAGTAATGGGATGTAATGTTTGACGGCACCCCGACGTCATGGTTTCAGAACGTATGAGACAGTATGCCCGCACCATCGACGCAAGACCTCTATACGCGTTGACCATCTAAGCGACGCGCCCCTCGTGGAGAATTTGCATGAACCCACTAGCGTTGGCGGTGTATCTCCCGCGTGCACGTGATCCCACCAGTCCCTCGGAAACGGTCCATTCGCCACATAGGAATGCACTTTAGTGCACAACCGTCCAGTGGTATAGGAGGTAATGTAGAAGCGCCATGAGATCAGGTTGGGGGTTAAAATTGCACGAGCAAGACGTACCCATCGTTGTAAGGGAGTCTCGTTCGGATGTGGGGTCGACCAGCGATGATTGCACAGATTGCCCTGCCATCTTGGTATGGGACAAGCAAGTTGATCGCATGGCGCCGCCCGCAACTCACAAAGCTGTGCCACTTTTGATATTAGCATGAAATTGCCACTGCCGCCCGACGCGTTCTCGTCAGTGCCTTTGGACGCCGACAAAGTAGACGAGCTGAAGAAAATTGCTCACAACACAGTCCAGCAAGTGGTACGATCCCCTGGATTCCGTGTGACGACATATTCCATCCTGACTCACACGACGACTGCGTAGCTGGACTGTGTTCGATTGACCAACGGCCCCATTGCGTGGACACGAGTTGCGGACGAAAAGGTCGTCCATGTCTACTTTGGCGTCGACGCCGCAGCCCCCCCATCTGTCACTTCCTGGCTCGGAGTGTCTGAAGTCGTTGCCACCCTGGACGAAGTTTCGGCGCTTTTGTACTCGTCGTCGACGGCCGACTACCGGAACCACCTTCGTTTGGTCTTCAACGAGGCCATGGACGGTGTCCGTATTGCAAACCTCGTGACTCCGACTCCTGAAAACCCTCGTCAATTTGTCGGGGTCAACTGGGTCGTACAGAAAGCTCCAGGAAACGGCATCTTGGTCAAGCACCGCGATTGGTGCTACGTTGAGGTTTGTCGGCGACGAATTTACCATGGATGGGATGCTCATCGCATCGTGTAGAGTCACCAAGACGCCGTGTTGGTGGATGGAAGACATGCATGGGTACGTGCAATGACGTCGGTGGACCTTCCAGCATGTCCGCCGTTGCCGCCGTTTGTCCGAGGACGCAACCACCGCAGCGGGATCGTGTTCGTGGAAACGGACCGACCCGGCACGCTACAAGTCCTGCAACTTATGCAGTTGGACATTTGCGGCGATGTCTCTCGCGTGGCTATCGTGGGAGACTACCTAACCCAACTGTGTGTGAAGAAGCGGTTCCGCACGATGGTGGACTCGATGGAGCGAGCGCTGAGGAGCTATCGGATGGGCCAGAGCGGCCAATTTGCTCCAGACGTAGCCATCCTCACCAGCAACTCCACGCCAACTCACTGTCGGTTGTGCACCAAGAAGTTTGGGATTATGACGAAAGCGTCCAAGTGCCGAAAATGCGCCCAGGTAACCATCGCGACCAACTTCTCCATGGCGAGCGACTAACAATGTTCCACAGGTCGTTTGCAGGCACGAAACTTGCAGTGCCTGCTGGGACGTCAAAGTCGATGGCGAGCTCGGATCCCACCGAATTTGCACTGTCTGTTGGCTAGCTGCGTCCCGCCAAACCAGTCGCGCAATTGTGCCGTCCCAGCACCAAAAAACGCAAGGAGGCAGCTCGTGGGAGTCCCGATCGAGGGATGTCCCATGGATGATCGATGGCGGCAGTAGTTTCTCACACAAAGTCGTGGACCCAATCATACTCGGTGGCTCCGACGATGACGATATCGAGAGCAACTTGGACACTTGCCCGTCCACGGTCCTCTTTGATTCGTCCATCATGGGCGCGATGCCGCAAACGTCGTCAACTGTCCAGCTCGTGGACAGCGCGACTCATTCTTAACACGAACTCTATCCTAATGAATTTGTTGTCGCCCCTGCGCTTTCCCATCCCAATGCAACTTTCATGTATGCATTCAAATATTGAGCTATTCACTCGGGACACTGACTACAGGAACACACCTTGCGATACATCTCCAGATGCATGCATGCAAAACCACCACAGCAAAAATGGAACGAGTTCCAACTTCCTCAACATTGCCAACAGCGCATGCCATGGATTTGGTGCGACAAGGACAACGTGACCATTTCGAAAGCTACAAATCATTCAAAGAACATGCACAAGCGGAAGCTGTGGAAGAGAGAACAGTTATGCTAAAGTCTCACAGGGGTTTGAGAAGCTCTCGTCCATTGTGTGAAGAGAATGGAAATGGACTTAGTTTACAATCGCAGAACAAGGGACCGAACAAATACACGACACAAACGTGCTGGCAAAGGGGGCGCAGTCGCTTTGCTTGTAGGAGCTTCTTGGCTAGTCAACGGACACAAGATAACATAGTGATGGTTCCACAGCCAGCGGTTGGACGAGTCAGGCCAGAAGATGTGACGCTCGGCGACGACAGTACCTGCGGACAGGTTCGACCTGGCCGAATCGACGATGGAACAGGATTTTGGCCGGGAGGGTTCGGGCCAGACTTGAGTTGGCGACACCCCTCCCGACATTCCACATGCCCTGGCCGCTGGCGCCGCGACGCAAGCGCATGTAGCCGCCTTCCCTGCCCCTAGAATTCTTGATCTTGAATGAACCGTCATGTCCTTGAACGACCCGTCGTCGTACCTGATTGCTCTGAAGGTGTGTTCCGAATGCGAGTCAATGTTTTATATGAAATTTAGTATGGAACTATTAACGCGAGATATGACCACATCACTTGATAACCCCCCTCATTAACGCATCAACCGAGAGCAGCTTTCAGCTTCCCTTATCTGAAGAC